TATGGTTTTAGTTATTTATTTTGATACTATCATTCTATAAAATTGTTACTTGAATATTTATATATATATATATATATATATTAATTTTAGCTAAATTATTTATGTATTTTGATAATTTTAGTTCTATCTTAAAAATAATAGTTAAATTAGAAGAAAAATTAGTAAAATAAAATTAAAAGTAATTCTAACCATTTAATTTTCTTTTATATTCATTTGGAAAACAAAAATATATAGAAGTAGAAATTACATAAAATTTATTAAAAAAATTAAATATAAATATGTTATAATTGGATTATCATATAATGATTTTATATGATATATATATATATATATATATTAAATTATAATATTATAAAATAAACAATCTTAATTAAATTAAACTATCAATTATATAAAAGAAATTTAACAGTGACTAACAAATAAAGAATCACATAACAACATTTAAACCAAAAAAAAAATGAAAAATCCAAACGATAAATTCATTTCAGTGTGTGAAATGATTAATAATTTATAATATGATGTCAAAATATAAAAGAATTTTCTGTTCAACAATTGACAAAGTAATTTAAGTAATAAATCCAAACTTTAGAAGTTTTTTGAGAGTATTATTGTTGTGCAAGTTTTTCCTCCTGTGAATTGTGATTATATAAATAATGTAAGAAAGAAAGTATAATTTCAAATATACAATCACTATAAAATTTAAACAACAAATTCATAATATATAATAATATAAAATTGATATTGTGTATAGCATAATGCATGAAAAAATAAGAAGATAAAAAATGGCAATTTAGCATTAAAAACAATTCTAATACCCTTAAAATAATTAAGAAAAAAAAACGTGAAGCACAAAATTAGTATTGGATTTGTGAATTATCTCAATTTAACATAAAAATATATATGGAAAATAAATATTTGTCAAATAGAAACCATATAAAATAGGTAAAGTTAACATAATTTAAATGAGATTTGAGTATGTATAGAACTCTATACGCAAGTAATTAAGAAAATATATGCTAGCGTGGCTCTCTTTAAAATTTAAAAAAAAAAAAAAAAACTTATAATGTGACACCAAAGTATGAGAAAAATATTATTTTTAATAAATAAATTAGTTGGTGACCTGTGCTATGCACAGCAATTTATTTTTAAAATCGAAAATTGATTTTGAGTGTTAATACTTTATGTGTAAAAAATTTTAACAATTGAATGCTAAATATAAATAGATTTGCTAATGACTGATGAAATTTTTTGTCATTGTATATGATCCTATGTAAAATGCTCATAAAAATAATTTCTTTCAAAGTTATAATAAAAAAAAAAGGTGTATTATCAACCTGAAATAAATCTTCATTTGTGTTAATCAAATTTATCAAAATTTATGAATTCCACTTGTATCAAAATATTTTTTTCTAAAAAGAATAAAAATATTAGAAAATTCTATAATATACAGAGTATTACATTTACTAATCGAAAATGTCTTTACTAATTTCTTGTGGATTTGGTTATGTCTAAAGTGCATGCAGTTGTTTTTTAACATAAATATTTTTCATATTCAAAAAAAAAAATTTGATGCAATGGGTCTTTAATTATATATGATTCAAATGGTGTTTGGTTATGACTTATTATAATATTTTTATATGACAATATTTAAATATTTTATTACATGACAAAATGCTTAAGGTGGGTTAAATCAAAGGTTGGATTTATCCTTATATTAGTAAGATTGTAAGAGTTATTCATATTGATGCATAAAAAATTACAAATTCAAATCTTAAACAGTGTCTTCAAAGGAAATCAGACACAAAATATCTATAACCTTAATAATTTCAGTTCTCAAATGGGTTCTGATTAATTATCATATATAAATTTTTATTTAAAAATTATTCAAGAAATATCAATACGTGCCTTAATTATGCATAATTATTTTTTATGAATCATTATTCTTTAAAATAATATTTCACACTTTTTATTATTTGACATTTGTCAATTTATCTTGTAAAAACTTAACCAAAAAAAATATTGAGTTATATTATTTTAATCAATCAATATCAAATTAGAACTTACACATGCACTACAAGAAATTAGACTTTCGCCGACCAAAATCTTAGTCGCCAAAGGTCACTTTTTTAGTCACCAAAACCAATTAGCGACTAAATTTTTTTGTCGCCAACTTAGTCGCCTAAACCCTGTCGGCGAATGTTTTAGCGACTAAACGCGAGTTTGGTCGCTGAAAATGCAACATTTGGCTACTAATTTGTGTAGTCGGCAAATGTGACCCTTTGGCGACTAAAAAAATAGTCGTCGAAAAGGTAATTTTTAGCTACTAAATTATTGGTCGCCAAACGTCAACGTTTGGCTACTAAAGTTGGGTTAGTCAGCAAAAGTTATATTTTTGGCGACCAAAATATTAGTCGTCGAAAGTTTTAACAAAACTAATTTGAACTATTTAGAGACTAAAGTTGTCACGACCCCATTCCGCCCCTAGTAGAATGGTGCCATGATGGCCAGTAATCTGAGATTTACCGAAGGCCAACCTTCAAAATTCACACACAACCAGAGTATTACATATGGGGCTAGCAAGTGCGGAAGCAATAAATACAATTTAGTTAGTCCATAAGAGCTGCGCATAAGTTAAATGGAATGGCATACATTCTTACATAGCTTTAATACAACCAAATGAAGTACAAAATACATTTTGACCAAAAGGCTTCTCAGCCATCAAATACAAAATACAATAAAATACAACTAAGAAGCATAGTCTTCAAGATGCGTCAAAAGTGCATAATCCAAAACAAGTGGCAAGTACATCTAGGCATCACCGCCGTCCTGCTCGTCACCTACATATATATAGGGAGGGGTGAGCTTGGATACTCAATGAATGGTATAAATAACAAAGTCGTTTGCACGAATGATATCCGCAATCTCTATCAAATCAAAACATATCACATCTTGTACTAAATCCAAGAGCAAATCAAATTCATCTAACAAGTCTTTCGAGGCCTTCAAGTTCAAGGGATTACATTAACAAAGGTTGTGCTACAAATGCTTATAGTCCCCTAGCACGTACGGACTTTCAAAGATTGTGCTACAAATGCTTATACTCCCCTAGCACGTATGGACTTTCAAAGATTGTGCTACAAATGCTTATAGTCCCCTAGCACGTACGGACTTTCAAAGATTGTGCCAAAAACCAAGACTGATGCTTGAAACACAAAATGGGATAGTCATTCATGCTTAACAAATACTTTTCCAAAACAAGCAAAGCAAAACTTTATCAAAACTTAATAACATAACTTTATTAAAAATAACTACCACTCACTTAGTTCTTCGGATGTCGGGGCCGAGGCAAGTCCAAGTCCTACAAACACATGGCAAAGCCTATTGAATGCACTTTCAAACAAGCTTCATATGTATACAGATGATCTCGACATTCCTCAAGACTTAGTTAAATCAAAACAAACACAGTTCTTTATCCCTGGAAAACATGCCGGGCAACTACCAGGTCTAGGCCGAGGTCCCACACCCCCTTGCCGAGGTGTGGCCTTGTTGGCTACATTCAAAGAAATGAAGTCGGGAAAAATCTGGGTTTCCCTCTCTTGAAGAACATGATGAACATAAAGAACATGAACATGAGGAAGATGAATGCAAAGATCGTAATTTGTTATTACAAAAATCTAAGATTTCATGCTATGAGTTCGAAAACATGGACCTGGGCACCCATACTTGAAGATCTTGCGAAAACAAACACAAAAACATGATTCTCAATGTAAACTTTCGGATCAAAGCAAGACTTTTCTTCAAGAACACATGAACATTATTCTCTCTTTCTAAAACCAGCTTTAAATCAATGCATAACGTGCAGAACATGTTCGATCGTGTAATGCAGTTATATAAACATAAAGAACAACAAAAGTGAATCAAGAATCTAACCTCAATTCACGAATCCACAGTTTGATCTCTAGGAATCAACTCGAAAGCCCACTCTCTCACTCTAAAACTTCTTCTCCCTCCTAGAGCTTCTCTCTCTACAAGGCAAAGATATAATACAAAATGTACATTTTCTGGGTCTGCCGGCTGACTTAACCCTCTGCAGGGGTACGTGGCAACGGCTGGTTGGTTCTATTCAAAAAGGTGACTGAGTGAAAAGACAAGACTGTGACAAAGTGTGCTCAACAAGTAAGGTAGCATGGGCACTCCGGCGGGTAATGATCTCGGCTAAGAACAAGACATCGGTAAGTAGGGGAACAGTGATCTCGGCTAGGAAAGGACAACACTTGACTAAGCTGTGCTACACCTTGGCCTAGATGTGCCACACTTTGGTCTAGGTCACACCACTCCAGGACAAGATCACTTAGGTGCAAAGGTAACATCTCGGCCTAGATGATACACATCTCGGCCTTGGTGATGAACACCTCGGCCTAGATAGTGACATCTCGGCCAATATGTCAGGGCGAAGGTGGAGATCAAACAAAGCGGTTCCAAAGAGATGCTAGACTGCAAAATGCCCTCGGCTGGACTCACACCAAGCAAGGCACAATCATGCAAGAAACACTAGAGCAAAACAAGACAAGACTTGAAATACAAGCTTAACAGAACAAAATCAAGAAAATGCACATGAGTATGGTTAGAACAGTGCGAGAGTTATTACAAAAGTTTTAGTCGCTAATTGCACTATTTGCCGACCATGGCATTTAGTCGCCAAAGGATGCCAACTTTTATTCATTTTCCTACTACATTATTAGTGGCCAAAACATTTGAAAATAGTTTTTGGCAACCAAAATAGTTAGTAGCCAAATACTATATTAGAATTTATTTTTTTTTTAATTTCTGAACCACCTGTATCCATTATTAGTACAACCTATACAATGTATAAACAATAAAATCCATCAATACTAAATATATATTATCAACCATCGACAATGTGCATGCCAAAAATTCCATTCGACATCCAATTCCATTCCATTCCACATATGTAATACAAATTCCATACGACCCAAGTCTATTCCAACCTCAATAATTTAGTAATACAAAATATGTAATACAAAATATATTCCCTCCATTCGACATATGTAATACAAAATATCAACCTGATAATCAATCCTAAAATTAGTAAATAAAATTGGAGTGTAAAATATACAATTCTGGTGCTGCATTCTTAAATATACATTCATTTCTGAGTTTCCACAAGGACCAAAGAGTTATTGTTAGGATGGCTCCCCCCACCCAACACACACACACACACACACACACACACACACTACGGATGCCTGCAGTGGGAAGGGAAATAGCAGGTGCACCTCACTCTCCTGATTCTCTTCTTGTCCTTCTTCCACACCATATGGGTCCTGACCAGAGCTTGTGAAGGAGAGTACAATTCATTGTTGCTAGAGCACAGCTGAAATGAGTAAAGACATAAAATGAATCCCACTGGGTTGAATTTGAAATTAGGTGATTATAAATATGATACATACACATTTATATATTTTTTTGATGGTGAATTAATTTAAATAAATCACATAAAAAACTAAATGCTCAAATACTTCCGAGATACTTGCCATCAACAATCCCCATTCTGTGTTGATTCTAAATAACTTACAATCTTGCTTTCCCCAGTCATGCTAGATTCATCGATGGCAAGAGAATGACCAGAAATTATGATTCCATCTGCTGAGACCTGGGAAAAATGGAAAGGTAACAACCTATTTTTTCTCGTGTTCATAAGCAATAATATCTACAGTTGCAATAGTTGATTCAAATATTTTCTCTCCTACCACCTCTTACAACCTGCATAATAATTCATAAAAATAACAATTTAGCATCCTAAGGTTAATAGATTAAAAATAAAGTAAATGCTTCATGTTGTAATTGCACACCTCCAATTGTATATTTCTCTTTTTTTGTAATTGCACACCTCCAATAATGCAACCAGGTACTCATTAATTTTCCAAATTTCAGATTTGGTTTTTCCTCATGATGAACTAAATGTAGCCCCTGTGGTTTGGTCCATGTACACACAAGCCCCTGTCATTTGGAAATAAGCACGTAACCTCTAATTGTTTGTGGATTAAAACACACCGCTAATATGTATTAACGGAACTTTGAATTGATGAAAATACCCCAATCTTCTTCCTCTCTTCTGAACTAAACCCCTATACACACACACACACAAACACATGTATATCTGTGTAAACCAACCACCAGCAATACCCTTCCCCACCACCCCTTCCTCCATTGCCACTATGGAACAATTCCAACATATCAATACCCACAAAAAGTTGCACACATCTTGTTCGAACAAGGCATTCAGAATCATGTAATTATCGACCAAGGCATTCATAAGTACATTCATTCAAATGAACTTATCAGTAATAATTCTTGAGTAATTTATAATAAAAAGAAGTATTATTTCCCTTGAAAAGATATATAATTTTACTTTGGCCTTTAGCCATTACAAATTTAAATAATTTTACCTTAAGGCCCTACTTTAGACAATTTCTATGTTCGCTTCTGGTTTCATTGGCTCGCCCTCTTATCAAGTACGTACATCTGAAATAATTCATTTTCTTACACATGCAATGAAATATGAAAATGTGAAAATATAAAAAGTACGTACACTTGCTATGAAATATGAAAATGCTTTCCACGAGGAAGAAATTTTGCACATTATGAAAGTAGTGATAAGGAATGGAAACATCTATATAATTGATTCATTCAACCAATTTAATTTACCTCTGAGAATTGCAAAATTATCTGGGATAGCCTAAGGACCTTAAACCGTCAATATGATAAGATAGCAACTCAAGCAGCTCCAGCAGCAGCTGCTCAAGCTCACAACAGCAGCAGCTGCTCAGCCACAGCTACAGCAGCAGAGCAGCAGCATCTCAGCCATAGCAGAGCAGAACAGTAGCCAGCAGCTTCAAAGCAAAAGCTCCAGCAGTCATGTGTGTATTATCAAGGCTAGGTAGTTAGTTTGTTAGAATTTAACTATAGTTTAGTTAGACGGTTATGGTTAGGTTTGCTATAGTTAGTTTGTTAGAATTTAACTAAAGCTCCAGCAGTCACGTGTGTATACTAGAATCTTTATGAAATTTACAACAAACTCAAAATAGTGTTTTAACTGATAGGATCATGCAAAGAGATCATAAGTTGAGGAAAAGCCCCTGTCATTTGGAAATAAGCACGTAACCTCTAATTGTTTGTGGATTAAAACACACCGCTAATATGTATTAACGGAACTTTGAATTGATGAAAATACCCCAATCTTCTTCCTCTCTTCTGAACTAAACCCCTATACACACACACACAAACACATGTATATCTATGTAAACCAACCACCAGCAATACCCTTCCCCACCACCCCTTCCTCCATTGCCACTATGGAACAATTTCCAACATATCAATACCCACAAAAAGTTGCACACATCTTGTTCGAACAAGGCATTCAGAATCATGTAATTATCGACCAAGGCATTCATAAGTACATTCATTCAAATGAACTTATCAGTAATAATTCTTGAGTAATTTGTAATAAAAAGAAGTATTATTTCCCTTGAAAAGATATATAATTTTACTTTGGCCTTTAGCCATTACAAATTTAAATAATTTTACCTTAAGGCCCTACTTTAGACAATTTCTATGTTCGCTGCTGGTTTCATTGGCTCGCCCTCTTATCAAGTACGTACATCTGAAATAATTCATTTTCTTACACATGCTATGAAATATGAAAATGTGAAAATATAAAAAGTACGTACACTTGCTATGAAATATGAAAATGCTTTCCACGAGGAAGAAATTCTGCACATTATGAAAGTAGTGATAAGGAATGGAAACATCTATATAATTGATTCATTCAACCAATTTAATTTACCTCTGAGAATTGCAAAATTATCTGGGATAGCCTAAGGACCTTAAACCATTAATATGATAAGATAGCAACTCAAGCAGCTCCAGCAGCAGCTGCTCAAGCTCACAACAGTAGCAGCTGCTCAGCCACAGCTACAGCAGCAGAGCAGCAGCATCTCAGCCATAGCAGAGCAGAACAGTAGCCAGCAGCTTCAAAACAAAAGCTCCAGCAGTCATGTGTGTATTATCAAGGCTAGGTAGTTAGTTTGTTTGAATTTAACTATAGTTTAGTTAGACGGTCATGGTTAGGTTTGCTATAGTTAGTTTGTTAGAATTTAACTAAAGCTCCAGCAGTCACATGTGTATACTAGAATCTTTATGAAATTTACAACAAACTCAAAATAGTGTTTTAACTGATAGGATCATGCAAAGAGATCATAAGTTGAGGAAAAGAAATTATGGATTGAAGAACTTCAAGTATGTGAGTCTTATTAAGACATGCAAACAGAAATCCCTGAATCAGTGAGCTCCCAAGAAGGAGGGGAGAGGGAGGGGGGGATGAAAAAAAAAAGTGTTAATTTCTAACAGCAAAATAACTAATGCTCATGTAAAAAACTAAACATTGCTCTTGCTAGCGAAGATGTAACAGGGTGACAGATGTTAACTAATGGCACATACCAACCCTGTGTTTGGATCTTGCGTTTGTGGAAGGAAAGTGAATATAAGATTCTACAACACTTATATACATTGTTAAGTGTATATAAGATTCTACAACACGTATATATAAATACATATATATATATATATATATCTATTTTCACACATATATATGACACAGTTTTATATACCCAAATTACTCCTATACAGGACTTCAAATTTTTTATTCCAAGTTTAATTTTTTTCAATAATTTTCTTCCTATCTAGTATGTAATATGTTGAGTTTATGGAGCTTGATAAATACTGTACATCTCACCCCGAGTATATTAAGGTATATATTACTCGTATATTAGAACTAGCGTAGTTAGAAATTTCATTCAGTGGGATCATTCAAAAAGTTGAGTTGAGAATTTTATGACATAATTTTAATTCTACACAATTAATTAAAATTAACTTTGATTTTATCTATTCCTAACCATAACAATAGAGTGATTCAAATCAAATTACATATAAAAGTATGACAGGAGGACATGAATACTAGTCTTTTTTTAATTCATTCAATGGGACATTAATTCTTTTTTCTTTTTTTTCAAAAAGAAGATAAAATTCTACATTTACTATAAGATAATTCAAAGCCCAGTGGTTTTGCCAACTGATACATACTGTGAGTTTTTACCATTATTTGTATGTGTGGTTTATGTATAAAGCAAAGATCAGAAGGAAAAATTTGAAGGAAGAGAGAGCTACCTGACAAAGGGTAGCAGGGGAGAGAGTAATTTGATCATAATACCGTGGATTCATTGTGACAATGACGATAATCGAAGACTTCGTTGCAGCAGGGAGCTCTAATCTTGCATCTTCTCCTATAATGCTTGCATCTATAGAGAAATTAAATAAACCAGAGCATCAAAAATCAAAGAAATCATCAAATAGAGCTTAACCCACCAACCAAAAACTAGAAGATAATACAAGAAATAAATAAATACCCATAACCCATCTTCCCAAAATCAAGTCTTTCATTGGCAGAGCCTTCCATTGTTGAATTGGAGCAAATGGAAAGAGAGGTGAGAGGGATGGAAGGCACAGAATTGGATCATCAGTTTATCCCATTTTTCTTAGAAAGTATAGCATCATCAGTTTCCAAGGATTTGACCCCTGGAACACAGCGGATAGAATGACCATGTTCAGACTTCAAATAATATTACTTCAAATAATAGGAACCTTTCTATCAACCAAGAAACAATAATAGTCTATTCCCAAAAACTAAATTAGCCAATTGATAAAAAGAATATGTATCAACCAAGAAACAATATCTATCAATCAAGAAAGCATAAGGAAATAACATAAGTTACAACTTGAAACCAGATATTATTAGAAAAAGCAACAAACATCTTCTTTATTGATTGAAGTGAGTTTCTCTTATTTATTCCACTAAACCAAAACAAAGAATTTGTTCTAATCTTCAAACCAGAATAACTTACCATAAGAATTTTTTTTAAAAAAAATTGCCTCAATTTTCTTAGCAGCCAAACAAAGAAAAGAACTGATAATTACTAGTATAAAGTCCACAACCTCTACCAGTTGAGCAACAACCTCACATTCTTAATCCCTTCTCTGTTTGGCAAGTAAGAAAATATAGCAATTTCAAAATTATTTATTCCCACAAATCCAAAACCTGCCCAACAACTAATTGGGAACAATGTAAAAGAAATCAAGATCAAATTCGATTATCTATTCTTTTCCTAAATTTATTACCAACCAAAAATGTAAAGCAAAACCTGCCCACGAACAAGTTCAAAATTGATTCACTAATTTTTTTTCCCTAAAATTTTCTTAGCAACCAAACAAACAGAGGGAGCAGAAAAATTGAAACCTGGAGGAGCTTCGTGGCATAGTCCGAAACACCATCAGAGACAAGAACAACCATGTCTTTAGTAGATCCTGTGTCCCGAATCGACTTCCCGAGAACTTGAACACCCAGTAAGAACTCATCGCTGTATAGAAGAGTCACGTAAGCCTCGTTAGAAGACTGACGAACACAGATCGCATGCTGAAGCAGAGTAAATAGAAGCAAAAACCAATTGATGAAAAGAATATGTATCAACCAAGAAGAACAAACTCACAAAATTAGGCATAATCATCACAAAGCATCACCAACAAGAGTTACAGACAAATATCATAGGGTTGTGTGGGTGTGTGTGAGAGAGAGAGAGAGAGACCGATTAGAGCTCCAAGAGCTCCTTGAAACCTGGGAGTTAAAAACTGAACCACCTGGAAGAATAAAGATGTGGTTCAAAATGGAACTTTAAAACCCATGTCGAATTCTTATTCGTTCTAGTACTCCTATCAAAAGCTCCTTTCAAATATACCACCCAACTCTATAATGTGATGAAGGATAACCCAGTTATCAGATGCCTTCTTGGAACATCATCCCCATTAAAAAAATTCTATCTAGATAGACAGAATGAAAATATTCTAATTTGTAATAAATATAACAAATAATATAGCGATCCCGGGTTTACCCTTGTTGAACAGTGATCCGGACATGTGTCTATGGATGTTGGTAGTTGATTATTACCTTGTTTACATCCTTTTACTTCGTACTTGAGTTATAGGATGTGTTGGGCAGGTTTGTTACAGGTTGGTTGAGTTTAGAAACCAAAACTAGTTGCCCAGATTTTGACCTGTCCGCTCGAGCGGGGGTGTTGGCACTCGAGCGGGAATTGCACCCATCCAGTATTTTCTGTGCAGTGTTGGACGCTCGAGCGTGGTATTGGCCGCTCGAGCGGGGTTGTGTGAGTGCCGCTCGAGCGGGGAGTTGGAAGCTCGAGCGAAGACCTGGTTCTGTAAAAGTTCTGGGAGTGTGCATCCGCCGCTCGAGTGGGATGGTTGACGCTCGAACGGGAGTCTGTGAGTGACGCTCAAGCAGGGTGTTTGACACTCGAGCGGATCGACTGGGTTTAAGTTCCGTGTTTTGACTTTTCAAATCACTTTTTCACTTTCTCCTCTCTCTCCTACTTTTCCAAAAACACCATTGTTGAGCCTCTCACTCTAGAACTCTACCTTCTCTCTAGGTTTTGATCTAGTAGGAGTGATTTGCTCATCTTTGGCCTTTACAAAAAAGTTGTTGATCGTTGAGGACTACTTTTTAATCTGAAAATTTCGAGATTTGGAGCACGTTGGGTTTTGTCTTCTTCTCCCTTGGAGCTCCGAATTTGAGGTAGGGATATCCTACTCCTCTCTATGGATTTTGTCTTTAAATTTTGGTATTTTGAGATGTTGGGGTTGGTTTGGTAATTTTGTGAAAGTTTGGGGCTTTTGTGTTATTTTACAAAGGTTGGGGTTTTATTTATAATAAACCTAGATACATATTTGGTATAGAGGGATGGAATAAATGTTGAATCATTGATGAAAATGGGGCCCAAGGGTTGTGATGTTAATTATGGAAAATGACCTAATTACATTGATTGATTAATTGGGGTAATTAATTGTGAGAATTGAGGAAATGAAATGGAATTGTCGAGATTGGGAATGTATGGGAACAAGGGGTGTAGTTGAACTATTTATCACTCACCGAATTGAAATGTTGATTGAATATCCATTGTGTATTTATTTTCTGTATAAAGATAACTGCTTTGGGCTATCGGTGGAGGATAGTCGTGATTGTTGTAGACAATGCATGATGATTAGGCAAACGGAAACTAATCAATGGATGTTGATACAGCTCATATGCTTATCGGTTGAAGTGTTGATACAGCTCATATGTTTATCTGTTGTAGTAGTGATATAGCTCATATGCTTATCTATTGAAAAGTTTGTTTGATTTGATATAGCATTCAAATGTAAGTCATCATTGTTTGTGAAGTATGGGAGTAGTTTATGTGTTATTGGTACAACACCATAATGTGTATCCACCTTGGATTTCGAAAGTGTTCTAGTGATGAACTATAATCTCATCAAACGTTCTGGCCAGAGTACTGAGCCTTGTTTTCAAACTCAAAGTTGAACAAAAATGAAAAGTGAATTGTAATATAGACTTGGCTGTCATGGTAACGTAGGGAGATGTAAATGGAAGTGTCAGTGTTGACCGTCTATCAGTTGCTAATCTTTTAGTCATTGTTCATGGTTGGTTTAGTGTATTTCTACTGGGCTGTGGCTCACCCTATATGGGAATATCATTTTCAGGTACAGGTAGCATGCCACCTCCAAGGACATAGCTTGGGAGGCTAGAGGCGGACATACTTTTGTCGTTTTATTTTTGATGTGTTACATGTAAATTCAAGACAAGGGCTAAATATGTAAATGAGTTAGTACTCTTTTATTGTAACCAAGTGTTAACTTGGAAAGCTGTAAGCCCGTAGGGCATTTTGCTTTTGTAGTTAACATGTAATACATTTGTAATGAAACTCTGATGAATGTAAGGTTGTGGGACTTTTATATATCAATGCATATTTATTTGATGGGTTTAAT